TATATGAAGCTTACTTGATAACTTATTGGTAGGAGATGACTTCTAATTCTAAAAAAACTTTGCCCTGGCATAAAGATTATCCTCTCTTCTCTCCTTTCTTGTGCTTTCTCCCTTTTCCCTCTGAACTCATGAGTTAATTCATGACTATCAAGTCATTTTTAGTGCCATACGCCACAACGCATGCAACTTGGGTTGTGGCACATGGCATAGTAAGGAAAATCCTTATCACACACATGCTTCATTCTAAGACGCAGTTCTTCCACCCGTGTCTACTCATTCAACATCCCAAATAGCCAAAATATCAAGTAATGATCCAAAATTCTAATCATCTACTAATTATTAATCTACCTCTAATTATTACAGTTCTCCCCTCCTTTTAAGAATTTTATCCCTCAAATTTCATAAAACACTTAGATTATACCTATGGAAATAGATAGGGATATTGCTACCTCATTTTATCTTTTGTCTAACAAGTAGCGTCATCAGGAGTCATACCTCACTAGAAAACTTTTACCAGACGAATGGTTTTATTCCTCAACTATTTGCCCTTCACATCCACAATTCACTTTGGCTCAGCTTTATAGGTTAAATTCTCCTAGACCTCAACCTCTTCTGGTTCTATAACATGTGAAGGGTCTAGTTGGTACTTCTTAAATTTAGAGACATGGAACACATGATGCACACCCGTAGCTACGGCGGCAAAGCAATTCTGCAGGCTACTAGTCTAATTCTTTCTAAAATCTTAAAAGGACCAATCAATTGATGAGTTAACTTCTTAGCTCTAATCAATCTCCCAATTCCTATTACTGGTGTAAACCTAAAAAACACATGGTCTCCCATCTAAAACTCTAATAACCTCCTATGCTTATTAGCATAACTCTTTTGCCTGCTCTGAGTTGTCAATAACTTTTACTTGATTAACTCAATCTTCTGAGTCATTTGATCCATAATATCTGGTTCTAACATACTTTTCTCACTTAATTCTATCTAACAGAAGGGTGATCTCTACTTTCTCCTATACAATGTCTTATAGAGTACTATTTGAATTATGGAGTGGTGATTGTTATTGTAAGCAAATTCAACTAAAGGAAGATGGCTGCCCCAGTTACCTTTCAATTCCAAAACATAGGCTCTCAATATATCTTATAGAGTCTGTTTAGTCCGCTCTATCTATCCATCTGTTTGAGGATGATAAGTTGTACTGAATCTCAACTCAGTACCCATATCTCGCTGTAAAGCTCCCTAGAACTTGTATGTAAAGGTTAGATCTCTATCAGACACTATACTCTTCAGCACTTCGTATAACCTCACAACTTCTCAGATATAGATCTCTGTCAACTTTTCCATAGAATTACTAATTTGAATTGCTAGAAAATGAGTCAACTTCGTAAGTCTATCGACGATTACCCAAATGGCATCATGGCCTACTTGAGTTCTTGGCAACCCAAATATGAAATCTATAGATATACTATCCTATTTTCACTTAGGGATATCCAACAGTTGTAGCATTCCTGCTGGTCTCTTGTGTTCTATTTTTACCTTTTGATAGGTTAAACACCGAGTTACAAACTCAGTCGTGTCTCTCTTCATATTAAGCCACAACCAATATAGCCTCATATCTTGATACATCTTTGTAGATCTTGGATGGATTGTGTATTTAATATAGTGAGCTTCATTCAAAATCAACTTCCTCAGATTTGCATCGTTAGGCACACAAATCCTGTCCCAATAGACAACAAACCTATCATCATTAAAGCTAAAGTCTATGGCCTGATTCACTTTAATTTATTCTCTAATTTTCAAAAGACATTCGTCTTTTAGTTGTATCATTCTCAATTCCTTCCAAAAGTCAATACTGATCTCCATGCAATAGGCACCAACTAATGCCTTCAGTAGTGTATCCTGCTGTGTCTCAAGGAAAGATTCCATCAATTTATGCTATTACACTATTAGACTTGCCACATTTAAAGTTTTATGGCTCAATGTGTCAGCAACCACATTTGCCTTACTTGGATGGTATTTTAATTCAAAATTATAATCTTTAAGAAACTCCATCCATCTTTTCTATCTCATATTTAGCTCCTTCTGATCCACCAGGTATTTCAAACTCTTATGATCTCTTAATACTTTAAATACTACATCATATAGGTATTGCATGAATGTTGCATGAAATTATTTTAAATTAAGCATGTTTCATAGCATTGCGTGAATGTTGCATGAAAATGGCTTTCGAGGAAAGAAATGAGTAAGAACATGTGATTTCATACTTTATATAAATATATACTATGTAATGAGGATAAATGTACGAATGAGGAACTTTTGAATGGTTTTAAAATCATGATCATAGGGGTGGGAGTTCACTCGAGTGGAGAGGTGGTGATAAGACCATATGGCATATTCTCCTTAGTGTCGATGGGGTGCGATGTTTGAGAATTATACCTCCTTAGTGCCTTTCAAAGTGCAGTGTTGGAGATGATCTCCTTAGTTCCTATTGAGGTGTGGTATTGGAGATTTAGACTCCATAGGGCCTGTGTGATACAGTTTTGAAGTTAACAACACTCCATTATGGGTAATGGGGGAAACCATAGTCCAGTAGTAAGATAAAACACCTTTAGCCAGATGATTCTACTACTAAAGGTGAGCTCAAGGTCAATGCGATTGTATGGTGGTCTAAGGCGAGCCTATGGTGTCAAGTTAGGGTGATTTAGAGGTTCAGAGGTACAGATATTGCTTGTGTTAGTTAAGTGGTAAAACGAGGTAAAAAGAGGTATAAATAGGTGAAATGTGAAACAAACGGTGTGATTTAAGTGAAACTTGTGATATATGATATGTTAAATGGTATATTAGGCTTTACTTTCATATAGTTTCATGTGATAGTCAATAGAAGTGAGTTATTCTATAATCTTACCCCTGTGGTTACATTTTAACAGGACAAAGTAGTAATCAAGGTAAAGGAAAAGAGTTAGGGCCGGCTTAGAGTTGTTGAAGCTTTTTGAACTCAGAGTTTTGTGTAATAAACTAAAAACTCGTGTATATATATGTACAAAAAAGTTGTCATAGGATTGCATGCATGATTTGAATATTTGAGTTATGTTTTGTGGGAAATGTAGAGATTTGTGGTAATGTTATGAGTTTTTAGTGAATCTTAGTACATGTGTGAAAATTATGATGAAATGATTAATTTGGGCTAAGATTGAGTTGTGATTATGTTGTGAATATAGATAGATGTGATTTGGTGAGAAAAAGGCCAAATTGTAACAAATTGTGAAAAGTTAATAAATGTGAAAATTGGCTGTTAAGGGGTCAAATTTTGACATATGTGTATATTTGTGTTATGTTATGGTCAATTAGATGTAATAGATCCTTTTAGACTTGGTTCAAAGCCTTGTGTGATCCAATGAGAGAAAGGGATCAATTTGAGTACTTGGGTGTGTGAAATTTTTGTAAAAAGTAACTTTTTGCACTCAACTATCTAAATTTTGATCGGACCATTACATTGTGTCTAAGCCTGTCTCATTATTTAGCTTATGAGATAAGCTTCATATGGGCGATTGAATCACTCTGATTAGACATTGAATGTGAAAACAATGTATGCTAGAAGTTTATCATTTTTGTTGTCAAATGATAGTAAAAAATTCTACCTGATGTGCCTCAATGCATGGTGTCACACGCCACTGTGCATGACACAGAGAGTTAGGCATATGGCTTTGTGCCACATGCCGTAGTGCACATATTACACACTATAGCACATAGCCCATATTCCAACCTAATTTTAAAATTTGAGATACATGCAATTG